GTGACTGGATGCAGCCCCTGCGCCAGGCTTACCCACCTTGCCGTTGTCCTGGTAGACGTACTCGATCTCGTGGCCCAGGGGGAAGTAGCTGTGAGGGCTGACCCAGCTCTGGGGGGGGTGCACGGTCACGCTGAGGGAGTGTCCCCTGCGCCGCTGGCACACGACCGCCTGGGGGGCGTCCGGCTGGACTGCGGGCACAGGAGAGGCGCAGAGTCCCGACTCCGGCTCGGACCGGGGCTCGTCGGGCTGCGGCACAGGGCCGCCGGCGGGGCGGCGTACTCACTGATGTCGCGGATGTAGAAGTGCGCGGTGCGCTGGCGATAGTGCTTGCTGCTCAGCGCCTCTGCCGTCAGCACCAGGGGCTGCCTCTCCTCGGCGAAGGGAGAGCTGGAGTGGGTCAGCGTGAAGTGGAAGGTGCCCTCGTGCGCTGCGCTTGGCTGGGCAGGCCGGGCGTAGACCCAGGCGGAGGGGCCGCCCTCGTCGCTGGGGCGACAGAAACGCGGTCAGTCCGGCTCGGCGCCCCGGCTCGCCGGGCTGCAGCGCGAGATCGCCGGTGCGTTACCTGCGCTGGTAGCGGACTCTGGCCAAGGCGTAGCCTTCTGGGCTCCAGGAGCAGCTGAAGGTGCAGCTGTAGGACTTGGCTGTGCAGAGCACCAGGTCTGCGAGAGGGGCACAGAGCAGAGACACACTGAGCTCACTCACGGGCACTCAGTCCCTTCCAGCTCCTGCCCTCTCACACACGACAGCCCAGGGAGCTCAGAAGTAGAAGGTGAGAAATAGAACACAACAGGACACACGGTACTATTTCTCTATTCGTCCAGCAGGGGGCTCTCTCCAGTTACCTGTGTCCTCCTCCTCTGGCTGCTCCTCCAGGACCAGGTGCATGTGGTCCAGCAGCTGCCCCGCCGCCGCCCAGCAGCTGTAGTTTCCTGTGTCGGGACTGTCGATCTCGTGAAGTGTCAGCTCGCGATCGCCGTGCTCCCTGAACGCGGACGGAGCAACCCTGTTCTTGTTGTGGGTCCAGAACACCTTCCCCTCATAGTCTGTCGTGCAGGACAAGGTCACGCTGCCCTCAGGTTTGCCCACTCTGACTAAAGGCAACACAACAGCAACACGGCTCACTCAGGAAACACACAGGAAGAGAACAGCTGAGATTCAACTGTATCATAGGGATATAATTCAATGGAGCTCCTTCAAACCAGTAAGCAGTGCTCCAGAATTCTAGTGATTCTAGATAGAGAGCACTGTCCCAGTCCCAGTGAGAGCCGTGCTGTTCCAGTGAGAGAGGTGTGCACTGTCCCAGTCCCAGGGAGAGGTGTGCACTGTCCCAGGTAGAGAGGTGTGTACTGTCCCAGTCCCAGTGAAAGAGGTGTCCTGCCTCAGTGAGAGGTGCACTGTCCCAGTGAGAGAGGTGTGTACTGTCCCAGTCCCAGTGAGAGGTGTGCTGTTCCAGTGAGAAGTGTGGACTGCCCCAGTGAGAGCTGTGTACCGCCCCAGTCCCAGGAAGAGAGGTGTGTACTGTCCCAGTGAGAGAGGTGTGCACTGTCCCAGTCCCAGTGAGAGGTGTGTATTGTCCCAGTGAGAGAGGTGCACTGTCCCAGTGAGAGAGGTGTGTACTGTCCCAGTCCCAGTGAGAGATACACTGTCCCCGTGAGAGGTGTCCTGCCCCAGTGAGAGAGGTGAACTGTCCCAGTGAGAGAGGTGTGTACTGTCCCAGTCCCAGTGAGAGAGGTGTGTATTGTCCCAGTGAGAGAGGTGTGTACTGTCCCAGT